ATAAAAAGGGATTAAAAAAATCAAGAATTAGAAGGGGAACCAGGTCATTTTTCTTACTGTATCAACAACACAGGAGTCTACAGTTGTTGAACCAACAAATTACTTTATGACCACGATAATATTTAGAATCATGAAGGCAGCCAACAAAAGACATTAGAGACTCTCAAAAGTGTTTCTGTGACTTGGTGAGAGGAGCATGATTTGGGGGTAGCTTTTTAAAAAATATTATTATGGGCTATTCTGAAGTATTTGACCCCTTGCCATGTATATATATATATATGTTACGTTTATTTTTAAAGTCATTGAATACCTGTCATGTGGCAAGCATGGTGTTAAATATCAGACATTTAGAGGTGGTGCAAGCCTTCTAGCAGAAGCATCTACAGAAACACATGATGCTGGGGCAGGAGCCCTTCCCAGGGCTATATGTGTATAAACTAGAAAAGAAGCAGCACGCAAGGAATCACAGTTCAAAGCGTATTTGGCCAACGGATTGAAACTGTTGGTATAGATCCCTCAGAGAGGCAAATTAGGAGAAATCTTTAGGACTTGGGGGCTTGGAGACTTGACATGGTTCCTTTAGTCTGACAGTATTCTAGGCAGGCAGATAGAATTACTGACAGAGTAGAGCTGTTAAGGTCCTTAGAGAGACTCTCTCCAGCCCTTTCATTTTACAAACAAAGCAAGCTTGGTAGTGGCAGAGCCAGGGCTCGAATTCAGTCCTTCAGATTCCAAATTTAGTGGCAGATGAAAGGAGCCCTAAACTAAGACACCCCCTGAAGCAGGAAATCAACATTTATCACATATCTACTAAGGGCCAGGCACTGTCCCAGCCACTTTATGCATATTACTTAATTAAATCTCCACAATAGCCTTATGAGGTAGGCTATGCACATAGTAAATCTGATCAAACCAAGGTTTAAAGAGTTTAAAATTACTTGTTTCAAGCCTACAACTGGATAGAGACAGAGCCAGGATATAAAAGAGACTCTCTGACCTCAAGGTCCGTGCCCCTTGGTTTCTGGCCCATAATTTTAGCCTTGCTGGCTGACAGGAGAGCAGCACATCCCTGTATTGGTGTCTCAAGGTAAAAATAATAACCATTTCATATTTAATCATTGAATGTATCAACACGATCCAATAATAAGGAAAACATGATCCTGGCACCATATAAGGCAGGGCTCTTTGATCTGCTTCTCCACTGCCCCGTGGCCCACACTGGGGGAAGGTCTGTGAGCTGCCAGGCCGTCCTTCTTAATTAGAAGGGACCCCGGGAGCCTTCACACAGCCCCAAGCTTTTCTGAGCAAAATAAACAGGAAACAGAAAAGAGGGAGAAGAGAGATAAATTCTCCCTGACTTTAAAAGATTTATACTGACAATATCCCAAGGAGCTTATGAAATGTATTTTTTCCTTTATTTATTTTTTATTTTTTTGGTAAAGGAAAGCTGCTGATGAAGAGATAGCTCTCAACTGTAGAGTTTCATTGAGAGTGAAAATACTTTAAGCTCAGTCTCTTATTGACAGTCCCGTTGCACAGAATAGAATTCATATAAACATCATCTCCCATATTAGAAATGGGAAAATAATCCATCATCCAGTCACCTTTGAAAGAGTCCCATTATTGAGGTACTGAATTACAAGGACAGAATTTACGTGTGTTTCCATACCCAGGAAGGAGGCATGGTGCTGCTGGAAGGTACCCTGAGCCCGCACCTGCAGCTTGATTTTCTCCTGCGGGACCTGGATTTCCCAGGGATGTGTGCTTGTGTGTGTGTGTGTATTACACACACATGCATGTAAATCTTTCTGAGAAGAAGGGGAGCACTGCCTTTATTTTGCCCACATTCTTTCCTTTTGTAGCTAAAAAAACTGGTTTAAATCCAACTTAAGAACATCAGAATACCGTCTCAGACCAGGGCACAGTTGTTGCTCCCTTATGGGTGACATATGTGACATTCTCATAACCCCAGATCACACCCCTGAGGTGTCTGGAGCAAGACTCTGCCCCCAAGAAATGCTTCCAGGACTCTCACCTGCTCCAGACACACACTGATCTAGTATTGGAGACCCCAGTCAATCTCAGAGTCTGCCCCCAATGTGGCACCTTTGCTTGCAACAGTAACATACTAAACCCATCACATTTCCATTGAGTTGCATCCTTGCCTAGTGCAGACTGGTGCTGTCTGATAGGTTGGGTCACTGTTGATTCCACTTCCCCCAACCATACCAGATTAATCTTCCTGAAACACCATTCTGATGATGTCACTCTCCTGCTCAAAAAGCTTTTCCGGCTTCCTGTTGCCCACAAAATTAAGTGGAGCATTTCAGCCAGGAATTAAATGTTCTCTATCATTTCATCCTGCCCCCACCACCCCAGCCTCATTTCCCAGCCTTCTCTTCATGAACCCCACTCTGCAGCCAAGTGCCACTACACACTCTCTACCTTTAAGCATTTTCCCCTTTTCTCAACTCCTGCCCAGCCGGTTCAGCCAATACCTTTGTTTTTCTCTCCCTTTAAGACCTAGCTCAAAGGTCATCTTCTTTATGAATCTCCCCAACTGAACCTAATGTCTCCTGAAGCCTCCCAAAGTGCTGACCTGTATGTGTCTTATGATTTTATAACCTCTACTTTTGATTATAGTTATTTCATAACTCATCACCCCTGCTGGACCTGGAGTTCCTTGAAGGCCAGAACTGGTTTATGTCTGTGTCCCCATGGCAGAGCCTATGCTTGGGTGGTGGGTCAAAGTAGACATCCAATAAATGAAATCTGAGGGCAGCGAGGAGTAAGGAAGCCAGCGAACAAATGGATTTGGTCCATTACCCAAGTGCCTGTCTCTTTCTCCCTTCCCATTCCCCTGAGTTTCTGAACTACAGAACTTGGCCCCAAGGCGCCTGATCATATTTTGAGATAAAGGATACAATGGGATAATGAGAAAGATACTAGGGAAAGAGCAGTGATGAGGAGTCCACAGAACTGGTGGAGTCTGGTGTGGACTTCCAGATTAAGAGTTCAGACAAGTCGTTTCCCCATTCTGACCCCCAGTCTCCTTCTCTAGAAAAGTGAGGACATTATATGAGATGATCTTTAAGTCCTTTCCAATTCTGTCTTTGATTCTAAACCCTTTCTTTTACTTCTGTGCCCATGACAAGAATGTCTTCCCCATTGTTAAACAGGATAATAATATAGATTATTTACTGAGGGTGGTAGAGCACTTTTCAAAGCCCCGATGCCACTCTGAAACTTCCCAACAATTATAGAGGATTCAGCTTCCATATGGACCCCATGACCCTGTTCCAGCTGAGAAACACTGTTGTGCTGACCTCATCCTGATTTTAATCAGAAGCCACATTTATCTACCTCCAGAACATTACATATCTCCAATTCCTGATGCAACATCTTCTCCTTGGAAAACACTTGCCTTCTGGAAGGAATTTCTTCTTTCATCTGCATCATTCTCTATTGCAGGCTGCTACTGTATTTCCCTACTTGGTAAATTGGGTTATCTGACCAAGGAGACTTAATTCGAAATGCTGGGGGTGGTTTGAGAAGTCTGAGCACTCATTAGCTAGGTCCCACTGGAGGACTCAGGGATCTTGTCAGGATAGGCTTCCACTGCAAAAGAAGCAGCATCTGATGGTCCAAAACGTCAGTGCAGAAGTGTGGCAAGTAAAATTGATGCATCCAAAGGAATGCCTGGAACAATATAATGGTGCTGTGCTTTTATGCTGACAGTAATCCCCATGAATATAGGTTTCTTGTAGGGCACTTGGTCTGAGCTACTGGAATTAGGGTTGGCTTGTCCCAGAGGAAAATTACCACCAGCATGGCACCAGGGGGACTTGTAAGGCTTTCTTTGTGGAGATCAGTTGCAAATTCACTTGATTCTTAGACTTAAGAGCTAAAAGCACCCTTAAGAGATTATTGAGTTCAGCCAACCCTTCTCACCCCATTTTATAAATGAGGAAACTGAAACCTGAGAAAGTTCATCCTTTGCCCAGGATCACTCAGCTAGTAAATGAAGGAGCAGGAGCCATGAGCTGAACTGCCACATAATAAGTGACCCAACTGCTGCCTCTCCAAGCCACCTGCCTCTCAAGAAAAATCTTGAACTGGTCATAACGATCTGAGAGCCTAGAGCCATCCCATGCATTCCTGGGAAGCTCTGAATTGTCCAACAGATGTAAATTGTGTCCAGAGTAGGTTTGAATGTGATGTGGAGAACTCAAATTAGCTGTGATTTAAACTGTGACCTGTAGGGTGGCCTGGGATGCCCTGGAGTGCCCTGGTTTGTGGGGGTGTGGAGCTACCCTATATGGATGTTTCCAAGGTGGCACTGATGTTCTGGCTCTACTCTTGGCACAGTTACTGAGGGGGTGACTCTGTTCAGGCTGTCCCCCTAGACCAGGGAGTAAATCTCTTAAGAATGTCTTGGCACTTGGGTTTCTGATTCTGGCCGCTCTTTGGGGACTAGGTGCTACCCTATTCTTCTCCTATTTCCTGTGAGACATTGTCAGTTATGCCTACTGGCTGGCAAAGAATCTGTGAGTTATTACCTATAACAAGACAGTCAAAGTCAAAGAACTCATCATTTTTTACGGTGCTTCCTCTCTACCTAAAACTAAGTAGAGTGCTCTCCATGCTAACCTCACATAATCCTCACAACCACCCTTTGAAGTAAATGTTTTCATTCCCATTTTACAGATGAAGAATCTGAGACTCAATAATATAGTGCTGGTAATGGGGGAGCTAAGGTGAGAAAGTGGATCTGCGTGATTATAAAGCCCAAGTCCCTGGTCGCCATCCTCTTGCCTCAGGCTTTACTCTCCGCAGGAACAGTCCAAGAGCGGGGGAGGAGGGCTGGGTGTGCGCCAAGGTGAGAAAGGCCTCCAGCACCACGGGCTTGGGTGCTGTTGGTCTCCAAATCCTGCACGGAGATGATGCAGGTTCTCCTGACTGAACACACCTACAGAGTCACTTTCCCTGTTTCTTGGCAGGCTCCTTCCTCCTGCTCAATACCTCGGCAAACTCCAAGCACACCATCCTGAGCCCGTGGATGAGGAGCGGCAGTGAGCACTGCAGGCTGGCCGTCTCGGTGCACAGGCACCTGCAGCCCTCTGGGAGGTACGTTGCCCAGCTGCTGCCCCACAACGAGGCTGGACGGGAGATCCTCCTGGTACCCACTCCTGGAAAGCATGGGTAAGTCCCTCACCATAGTCAAAATCATCACAGAAAAGGCAATTTTGCTTTTGGCTACAAATTTCCGGGGTGACATCTACTTAAAACTCACAATCATCCTCCAATGGGTAGGGTACAGATTGAGCCATTACTGCTAACATTCCCTGGGTAGTGTCTTGGGCACTGATCTGTGGGGCCTTCTGGCCGCCTGGGCTAGTAGGCCTTCCAGAGGCCAGGGGCCATCTGGCAGAGTGGGCATTTAACGAGTGGGTGTTAAAGATACTCATTTCCCAAAATCCAGACGGAGCCAAGAAGAAAACAGCCAAGGGGAGTGTGAAAAAGGCCAAAATGAAAGTAATCTAATATGCTGGCAACTGCAGAATTTTGGTGCAAAAGGAGAGAAAAAACTATTGTGGTCACCTGAGCAGGCCCTACAGGAGTGGGGGACCCCAGAGCAGGATCCGTCAGGGATGCCACATGGTATCAGTTCACTAGAGATTAGAACAAATGTTGTTCCAGAATACTCTAAGGCTTACACAGCAGTGAAGTCACACCCAACAGCCATGACAGTGAACTCTTCTCCACTTCCAGGAGATATTCACCTGGTCACTCAGTGACCCATAAGGCCTCTAGTGGTGACACTGGAAAGCAGACTTGAACCAGGGCATCTTTGTGCCTGCCTTTTTTTTTGTTCCATAAGTATGAATACTGTCCTAAGACCCCAGTTTTGAGGGACCCCAGAGCTGATCGCTTTGTACTCAACAAGGATTAGACATCCTTCTTTGTCATATGGTTGCAAGAGAAAGACTTCCAATCTGTAGCTAAGCCTAGACTTAGCCACCATTTAAGAAAATTCCTTTCAGGGGGTCCCATCTGAAGATGATGGACGCCATGCTCCACCTCCATAGTGTGCTAGCTCAGGCTGGGAGATCTGCCTACTGCTTTTCCAATAAAGCATATGGCCTCCTTAGTAATCTCTTGGAAGTCTCCACACTACTCCCCTGCTACTGACCCAGGTATATTTATCTGTGCTTCAAAGAACTACAAGCTGCTCTAATCCCAGCAGGAATGAAATCTTGGCTTCCAGAAGGATGCTTTCCCCCCAACCAAACCTCATATCCATCATCTTGCCTCTGATATGCCTCGTTCAGCTGTTTAGGAGGGGCCCAGCCACCAAGTGCCTCTTGCTCTGTTCACAAGAAATCAGGAATATTGGGTGTCTGACTGCCCACCCCTGTGGATGAGCTGTCCTCTGGGTCCAAGCCTCCCTCCAGCATGACCTCCCTTTCTTGTGTAGAGGCCAGGTGGGAAGGCCTCCCATCTGTAGGTGAGGCTGGACGTGGCTTTGGCTGCAGTGCCATCGTATCGTATAAGCATTTGTCCAGCCTCGTGAGCTGTTCTGATTTCTGCACTCAACACTTGACCTGGCAGAGATTGGAGAGTGCTGCTGGAGGCTGCTGGGACTTCCAGCAGTCAAGCTATTGAGGCACTCACTGCAGGTGGGGCTCATTGCTGTCACAGGGGAAGTGGAGTTCAGTGTGTCCCTGAAATGCAGTCTGAGAACATGCAAGCATGTGAGAGGAAGAATGCTGGAGAGACTTCAGCACTTCCTGAGTAGCAGGGCCTGGGCCCCTGTATAGAACAGTTAGGAACAAACAGGGACTCTGTGGCATCTTACTACACTGATGGACAGTGACTGCAATAAGGTATGGGAGGGGGGACTTGATAATAAGGGTGAATGTAATAACCACATTGTTTTTCTTGTGAAATCTTCATTAGAGTGTATATCAATGATACCTTAATAAAAAAAAGTGAAAAAAAAAAAAAAAAGAACAGTCAGGAAGACAACAACTCAGTACAGCTAGCCACAGGGCTTGCAAAGAGTTTGTCCCTCTTTATCTTCCTATGAGTTCTCATGAGAAACTAGGCAGAGAGGGGAATTGGGAAGTGATATGGCCCAAACTGGACTCCAGATCTCCCCTTCCCTAGTCTTGCTCTTTCCAGGAAACCCATATCCTCTCTGCAGAACTCAGGGGGAAAGGGTAGGGTCAGGAAAGAGGAAATGGGAGGTGAAGGAACTTTGCAAAAAGAGATGATCTAGAGTCTTTGGTGCTTTAAGACAGGTGAGCCCAGGGGCAGATGATGACAGTCTTCCCTCCACAGGAGATGAGAAACAAGCGGACTCAGGCCACATGGCTTACGTAGACTGTGAACTCCCCCTGAGGCAGCCATGGCCTCCAGCCTCAGGCCAACCCCCTGGCCAATGCATTTCCTTTCCAAGGCGACTCTTCCATAGCCAGAGTTGGTCTCCCCACTGGAGAGTGGGAGCTGAGGCAGGGGAGGAGAGCAGGAGTCCTGGGGCAAGCACACTGACTTGGTGGCTTTGCCTACCGCTGCCCCGACATCCACGGGGCCTTGGCCTCAGGCCACCTCCCTGCTTCTCTGTGCAGAGATATTCTCCCCAAGCCCTGGCAGAGCACCTTGGAGTTTAGTGATGAGCAGGAGTGATTCCAAATAACAACTAAAGAGGCCCGAGCCAGCTGCCCCACTCCAACAAGATCAGTGTGGTGAGGGTGGGCAGTGGCAGCTGGAGGGCCAATCCGCAGACTGCCCTGCTGCATGAGGAGCTCTCCTCCCTGGACACCTTGGCGAGCTGGGGGACACAGGCACTTGTCCAGCATTTGAAAGAGCTGGGCATTTGTGTAGAGTTGTATTGGGGTTACTCAGCCTCAGCACTATTCAAATCTGGGGCTCAATAATTCTTTTTGTGGGTTCTGTCCTGTGCATGGTCCCCAGCTTCCCAGGCCTCTACCTACTAGGTGCGAGCAGCACCTCCCCTGGTTGTGACAAAAAGTCTCCAGACATTGCCAGATGTCCACTGGGGGACAAAAATCACCCCTGTTGAGGACCATTGAAATAAATAGCACATTTTAGAGCTGGCAGAAAGCCTGGAATTTACCTGGTTCGACCTTGTCAGTTCACAGGTGTGGGAACTGAGGCCCAGGAGGGGGAGGGCCTTGGTCACATGGTGGGTGTCAGTGTATGTGTATGTGTCAACCACTGTACTAGTTCCTGGGTTACAAAGATATATAGGCCCAGCCCCTCCTGTTGAGTAATAACTAATGCAAACACTTACTAAGCATTTCCTAGATGTGCTAGCCAGTCACTGCTGTGCACTTTACATGAATTTTATTAGTTAATACTCAACAATACAATGAAGCATTCCCTTCATTATTATTTTCCATTTTGCACAAGAGGAAATTCAGTGAGGTAAATGAAATAACCTGCCCAAGGTCACCAACTAGACAGTATGGAGTGGGTCTGAACCTAACCAGCCTGACTTCAGATTATTTTTTATCCCCTGTTGGAAGAGCTCAATTAAGCCACAGTTGTGCAACATAAAAATGGTTATGTATGCTGTGAATAAAAGCCCTAATGCAAGTCCTAGTTCACAATTCAATTGCTGGTTCCATGAACTGTTCTTTATTGGGTACTTTCAATTTGTTAGGACCATAGAGGTACCAGAGGTACAATAGGCCAGCCTTTGATGGTCCATGAAAGCATTGCCTTTCATGAGCTGTGATTGCAGGAAACCTCATCCCATCCCAAATCTCAGTTTCCCCATCTGTAATGAGGGGCAGTTGAGGCCCTGCTCTGTGGTGCTGTGGGGTCAGTGCAATAAGGGAAGTGAAGGGTTTTAAACACTCTAATCAGGATGCAAATGAAAGAAGCCATTATTTAACACCCCAATTTGCTCTGCTCAGAATCTGGGATCACAAAGGATTGAGACGCATCTGCTCTGACTATGGCGGCAGTGCCAGTCTCACGAATCCTTTGCTTCTGAGCTCCTCCACAGTTTGCCTCTCTGGAGGCTCGTGCCCCTTAAGGTCAGAGATGACCTCACCAGCACAGTGCTCACTGTAGCAAGGGGGACTCAGTGAAATCCTTGTACTGACGACAATGGTGATTACAAATGGGGCTGACTTCCTCTCAGAACAGAACATGGTGATTTGGGGACCACTATTTGGAAAACAACATTCAGCATTTGTAGTAACAAGGAAGAAAGTTGTCATAACAAAGTAGGCTCGGGAGAGCCTGACTCATAGGAGTGGGCTGAGGAATGACAAGTCTGGGGCCACCAAGTCCCCCAGAAACCGCCAAGTCGTGAGCACACAGTGTAGCTCTGGGGAGCAGCAGCCTGCTGGGAGAGACCGGAGGCAGCGGAAAGCAGTCAGGAATCCCAGCAGCTGCCCCTTCCGAGTCCCTGGAAAGCAGCAGCATGCATGAGGTCTGATGAATCACCGAGCATGAGTGCCCACATCTGCCAAGGCAGCCTGGGTTTGGCCCGAGTCTCCTAAGGACAGATGACAATGAGTGCCCAGTCCGGCTCATCTGCAGGGACAGAATGGCCACAGAAGCAAGGAAGCACAGAAACGGGCTGTCAAACAGCCCAGCCCTGCGGGCTGCAGAATCCAGCAGTCAAAGGACATTGTCACTATGAATGAGAGACCACAAAGTTCCCATGAATTGAATGAATCTGATAATACCTATTTAATATGGTGAACTGGAAAATGGCTCACACTTATTAAGTGCCCAACTGTGGTAGGTTCTTAATAAATGCTAGAACCTTTGCAGTTCATACATTCACTTAATGACCATGGATCGAGCTTCCCCTACATAATAGGTGCTAGAAACACACAGCCAAAGACAGCACGGGCACAGCTTTCAGGGAACATCCAGGCCTGTAAGGAAGACATGAGTGTAATAGCGACAGCACATGCTTGTGCAGGTGTTTATAAATTGGGGCCCAGAGATACTAGGAGGCGAGCTAAGATCACCAGCTGGCCAAGCCAGCACAGGCAGCCTAGCTCCTGCTTCTGCCTCCTGTGCTGGCTTCCTTTCTGCTGAAAGCTGTTTTAGAAAGAGCAATCCAGCAGTGATGGGCAGTGTGAAATTGGCACCTCCTGGACTCAGGAATATAAGCTCAAGGACTGGTGGTGTCTCAGGCTATGGGAGCAACT